TTCCCTGCTTTAATTTTTCTGCTGCACCTTAACATAATGAATACAAATTTCAGGTGTCATAAGCAGCACGTTTCTGAGATGTACACAGGTAGAAAACCCCCAAACCAGATCAGATATGGCTTTGGTCTTGAAATAATTCAGTAGTTGTGCCCAGTAGGCCATTACTATGTCAACCTGGAGTAAGACAACTTACTTGTTATTTGCTCTGACTGTACTGCAAGCTGCTGCTGTCTGTTTTATTGGGTCTGAGCACTGAAGAAAACTGAAATACCGATCAGTGTAGAAATTATCAACAGCTGCCAAAAATGATTCCTGATGAGCTAAACTGATCTCTGACTGCCCAAGTTAAGGGATGGAGTCATTCAAATTTTGCAGCTGCTCTTTAATTCCACAGGTGAATTTACTGAGTTACTGAGTTAAATTCAGACTTCATGTCACTTAAAAAGGAGCTTGAATCTATCAGTAAATCTACTTTATGATATTTTATGTTAAGTGAAAATCTAGCAGAGAGTCTGAATTCCTTTCTCATTTTCATGCAGATGTTGCTTTTCCTCATAAATGGGAAAACTTCTGTTTTACATAAACCCTGCAACAGCTTTACCTTTCTAGCATGCCTGGTGCCTTGACATCTGCCATCTGCTATCCACTTTGGAACTGATAACAAATCCATTTTGAGAAAGGTTTCCACAAACAGTAAATGTCCTAGGTGCTACAACAGTAAGTGTTAGTTTGGTTTGAAGTAATCAAAAAGTCCTTTAACAGCTCATAAAGTCTGGAAAAGCCTAGAAAGGAACAAAGGTGCAGACAGAAAAAAGAAGAACCAAATATGCCATTACACAGAGAAAACTGAATAGAGTGTAATCCCCGCTGTAAGACAGTTTCTAAAATAGCTGCTAGACGTTTTTCTAGAATTAAAACCAGTAGAACTACTACAGCATGTGGAAACCATGCTGTGAGTGGAATGAAACCACAATGTGATGGATTGCAAAGAATAATGCTTTGGACACCCAGAAAATTGAAGGTTTCAAATGCTAACCACTCAAGCATCCATCTGCTAGTAACTTTTTCTGCAGTTCTTATACACATAATAATAGAATGATTGATTGATTTCTACAAAATCTTTGATTCTGGAGCCGTATTTTTCTAAATATTCACAAATGCTGTCAGGAATAAATTCCAGGGAGGCAGATTTCTTTATGCATAAGGATGTACAGAAGACTCATCCTTGTTCTTTTAGTGCACACTCTGTGCATTTACTTTGCTTACTGGTAACTATTCTATGCATGTCTGAAAATTGCATCAAGTTGGCTTTGGAAATTCCCACCTACAAGATCTCCACATATTTGCCTCAAAACTGCTTACTGCAGTGGTTTGCCTCTTCTTTCCCTTAATCATCTGCAGAGCTTGTCTCTACTTCACATATGCTTTTATTGACTTAGCATACGCACATCCCTTCTTTATCTCACTTTTTTACATTTTTATTGTTCATCTGCTATTACTTGGTAAGGGGCTAGTTTATGAGGCAGCCTGGAAGACCAACCTAAAAGTTGCCAAGACAAGGTGTATGTGTCTGGTGCTACGCGTAGAATTTTATATGAAGATTCTGGTTCAAACTCTTGTGGGAAAATGGTAGTTCTGTCTTTTGGGCTTTCTTCCAAGACTTTTAGGAAAACTGTATAGTTAGAAAGTTTAGAGGAACTGTTAAATTCAATCCACTTCTCTGAAAATTCTAACATGGTACAGTGATCTACCTTTATCTGTACAGATTAAAAAAGAAGAAAAAAAAGAAAAAAACATTTTTCCTTCTTAAAAACAACTTGAACTAAATAACTGAATAAACTGAACTGAATAAAGTGATCTATTTTGATTTTCTTAACTAGTAGCTCATGAAATCACTACATAGTTGAATAATCACTCACAGAAGATACCACTCATTCAGCAAAGGTATTTTAAGTAATATCTGAGATCTGTGTATTTTCAGATATGTTTTTTTAATGCATATTGCCTCTGATTCTCTTCTGTCTAATATTATGTAGCACACCATAGAGGCGAGGTACTGTAAGTTTAATTATGGTTTTCTCCAGTGTTAAACTTTGAAATTTTACTTTTTGGTAAAATGATTGAGTCAGTAGGAAGTAATGAAATAAATGGTAATAAATCCTATTCTATTTAAGTATAACTTATGTAGGAAAATTATGTAGATAAATTAGCATGTAGTTTAGATGTCTGGAAGATTAAAAGACAGTGCTAGAGAAGAAAAAATTCAGAAGAATCAATAATAAAGTTAGTACAGGGTAAATGTAAAATCAAAAATAGAACTAAATACTTTTCAAACTGTAGGAAAAAGATACACATGGAAAACCTGAGTTCTGGAAAGATTTAGAGCAGAAACTATAGCTTCCATAATGAGCATATGTTGTGTTATGGTGGTTAAAATTATCACATTTCTGGGGGGCATATTAAGTAGAAAAATTTCCCAGTGAGAATGAGTCACTCCGTATTTGTTATTGAAATAACTACACCAAGCATAGAATTTTCTTTCTACACCTGAAAGCCCTTTTGAAGGGTAAACTACAACCCTAATGGTCTTAACAAAGTCAACGTTTCTTGTCTTAAGAAACATACTTAATAAAAAAAAGTCACTTGATGGCTATAGCTGAAACTTGACTAGTAAACTTTCACTCTGTCAATACTTCTTTCATTTTGCTTTTTATTATTGAGAATTCTTTTTGTGAGCAGAGCCCATAAATTTAATAGAGGAGTTTTTGCTTGATTTTAGGATATGGTCAGGTTACCTCGCTGAATTCGCCGCTCAGTGGTGGTGGCAGTATTTGTGACATAGAAAGTCAATTCCTATCATACACTTCATTAATCAATAGAAAGTCAATTCCTATTATACTCTTCATTAATCAATATATATTAGTACCTACAGTCTCTGTACAATTATTAGAGTTAAATAAGGGAGAATCAAGTGGCTGCTTTACTGTCAAGTCATGCCTAAGTTTTAGTTCTAGGATTTCAGGTCGCATTACCAAATACTTTCAGCTCTACATGACTAACTAAAGTCAAGCCCTTACTAAGTATACAAAATGCACTTAGTAAATTACATTATAGAATTACAGAAACAAGTTGGAAGAGATTGTAAAGACCACGTAGTTCCAATTCCATTGCCATGTGCACATATTCCTCCACATCAGGGTGGCCCCATCCAACCTGACTTTGAAGACTTCCAGGGCATCTACAATTTCTTTGGACAACTCATTCCAGTGCCTCACCATGCCTTTCTCTATCTTTCTTGGAGGCCTCCTATAAATACTGGAAGGCCACTTTAACATAATATGTAACAGAATTATAGAATAATGCCTAGAGCCTTCACTTCTCTAGACTAAACATATGCAGCATCACAGCCGATAGCTATGTCTATCAAAGGAAATTCTGTCTCATCCATTTTCCAAATATATTTATGGCTTAATACAGAACTTTATTTCCTATGGGGTTTAAAACAACAAATATTCAGTAGGCCAGAGGTGACAAACATTTCAGAAGTTATTTGAGGGCAAGAAATTATAATGATCTCTGGTCTAAGAGATTCACAGTTGAAAAAGGACTGTCAATTAGCATTTCCTCTGGGAACAGTATTTGTGCAGTTATATTAATGGGACATTCCACTACAAATCACTTCATTAGTTTTGTGGCAGTGCATCAGCATAACTAGACATATCAGATTTTGGTGATCAGTTATTTCTGTTTCAGGGGATATTTATTCATCACCCATATTTTGCGGTGCCCCATCATGTGCTTTTAGAAACCTAGAAGCCTTTTTTACACACTGAAAATGTGAGATCCATTTTCACATGCCTTCATATTGTATGGAAATTCCTAAATTAATGTAACTGCTTAGAAAATCCTCCATACAGATTTGCATTTCTAAACCTTGTCTCCAGATGGAAGATATCACACTGATGGGACCAGATACTTAATATGCAAGAGCTTAAAATATTCAATGTATTTTAAGAATTCTAAATTTTTAATGCTTAAAATACCAGTCGTTTTCCAGCAACCCAAGCTACTTTCTGGAACCCAGTGCCAGAATTTCTTTAACAGTATACATGAAAGACCTACAGCACTGAAAACAATGAACCAGAAAGATCTGAAATATAGCTTAATTAGTGTCTGGGGGTCTTAGTGTATCTGTTAAATTCAATGTTTTCAAAAGCAAAAAAGACATATGTATTTCACATTCTTAATGTTATGGGCAATAACTGACTAGTGACAAATAGTAACCTTGAAACTCTTAAAAACATTTAAGTCTCCCCTCTGGTAGTAGCATCTCACATTCAAATATACTCTTGAGGAATGCACTCAAAAGTGGGATATGGGAGACAACCTTTGACAACTTCACTAATTTCTTTCTATGGGACAACATTCACCCTGTCCACAAGGTTTGTTTAGCTCCTGCTATCCTTTCAGTTCTATTTATGAAGGGTTACACCAAGAAGAGAACTACTAGGTATTTTATGACAAGATCACTGCTGCAGATATTTGGTACCTACTGTGATTTGTATCACCTATTTGAGCCTCAGCCATAAAGCTGCAGTTTTTATCAGGAATATTTGTGAATATATAACTGCTCTGAAGACATATGGTCAATAAATAATTCAGTTATCTATCTTCCCTGCAGATTTCTCATACACCCACCACCTATTAATGCTTAGTTGGTCTGGAAACAATATTCTTTACGGCACTACTAGTATAAAAATGTACTGACTGGCAGCAGACTGTTGATTTCCATTGTGATACCTTGAAAATAAACTGTTTCCCACCCCAGTCTCTATCTACTATGCTTTCCCATCTGCTGTCAGTCCAGAGATACCTAGTTTTGTATTTTGTGTCCCTAAAAACGACTATTTCCAGTTATCAATTCCAGTATCACACCACTGTGATTATATTCATGATTGTATTTTCTCTCCCTCTCCCCCCTCCCTTTGTTCTCTTTTCAGCTCTATATCCATTTACAGTCCCAAGGAGAATCCTAATGCATTTGATGCTGCTGCTTTCTTTCAGTCAGTGGGAAATTTTCTGGGGATCTTTGCTGGATCATTTGCTATGGGATCCTCCTATGCGGTTGTCACAGCTTTAATATCCTTTATGGTTCATTTTCAGAGAGAAAATCTGTGTGTGATATCTAAGACTGACTGTCTTTACTTTCAGATTGAACCTTTCCACTGTTGACTCAAGACTTCATAAACAGTCAAATCATAAATTGACAAGTCATTTAATTTGTCAGAATCCATGAAGAACTTAAGTCAATCCCCAAACATTATGCAAATCTCTTTAACATTAGGCATGACCATGGTCTTTATTGTTTGTAAATAATGAGATGCTGAGGTTTTGAAGTATTCGTAGATTAAATTATGAATTTATGACTACATTAACGTATTTACAAATTACACACTAGCAGCAATCATAGGAAAATGTAAGGCAAACTCCCAACTACAAAACAAGACAAACTAAGTCTACCTAAAATAGAAATAAAAGGCACATATATTGCCCGGCACTTTTTGTTTTATTTTACAGTTATTCGTGTAAAACACTATAAAGTAAGAATAGCACCTACTTTCATCTTTCTTGCCTCAATATAAATATTAAACAAATGCCAGTCAATGCAGAACTGGACAAAATTAGTTTATTTCCCATTTTTCCAGGAAAATAAAATAAAATGCAACGAATTAGGCACTATTTCAAAAACAACAGAAATACTTCAAACAGCAGACTTGTTGAATTCAGTAATTTAGAAACAGTGTAGTTTTTCCTGAATTCACTTTGTATAGATGAGTATGGTGAGTTTTCTTTCATCTTCCCTCCCCCATGGGGACAATTTTAGCTTAAAAAATAGTTGCTTTTTACTTTTCCTTAGTGAGTGTTTCAGCACTTGACAAAATTTACAAAGCTGTGTGAGTTCCCCATGTTGGAGACAGGTCTGTTTTTCCTCCTATCTTGGAGTGCCTTCTTATCAGCAGAAGCTGCTGGTCTCACAGGTAAGTGTTGCATTTTATTGAATAAAAGCAGTTTCAGAGTATACCTCCTAACATGCAAAAATGGCACGTTTATTTTGGGCATGACATCATCTTATATAAAGCTTCCAAAAGCTAGTTGCTGTAGTAGAGGTTGTTTCATCCCCAAGAAGAAATCTCTATTGTCACTGAACAGTTCTACAAGAAAAAGACTTACTAAATCAGGCTAAAGTCCTCAGTCATCTCTTCTGTCTATCTACAATTTCCCATCATTCTATTAGTCCCATTATTAATCCACTATTTACCGCTCGCTATAGGGCCAAAGACAACAGTAAACATGAGGAACAAAATACACAGTGCTGTGTGACATACACTCTTAGGGATGATGTGCTCCTCTTCATGCAGTGGATGTCCTGGTACCTCCCCCTGGTTTCCCCACTATCAACGACCGAATGGAGGACAGGGCTGGCCTCAACATTGCCAGTGGAGCGCAGCCACTTCTGGATTTTTCTAAAAAATAATTCATCTTGTTTGCTGTGCCTATGTAAATACCTTTTACAAAAGGAATAAGTTACTGTCGCATCCCAGCGTAAGATGAAAAGACAGATCTGATTGCTTTTCTTTTCTATGTAGACTAAGAAAGAAATTGTGCGATCATAGTCAAGGACGTACCCAGGGACTGCTTTTAGCAACATAAAGAGTCCAAATTAAGGCAAAAGTTCTAAATGCACATAGATAGATAGACATTTATCCAGATAACAAGCTACTGTACAATATGATTTGAAAGAACAAACTTCATAATAGCTTGATCATTTTAATGGGCTTGATGCTGTCACCTTTAAAATCTAGTGCTCTAATTAATGTCATAGAAAGCCAGGGGAAGAAAACTGCTTAATGAAGTGTTAATGCAGCCCATGCTGTTTTGTTTGCAAAACTGTTCAAAGCCTTTCTGAAGTCAAGAGTTATATTTCCATTGAGTTCTGTGGAACCAGCATGCTACCTCTTAAATCTTAGCCACACAAATTACTTTCAAATTAGTATTATACCTGTATCTGCCGACATCTTTACCTTATTAAATATAAAAACCTGTGCCCTGATTCCTGCCAAAATATACAGGCCAATGGATACAGCGAAGGGCACAAGATCTGAATGAAAGTAGTATATTCTATCACAAGGAGAAAATCAGATATCACCTGGATTAAAAGCCCATTTTGTTTCTTCATGCTTAGCAACTCTTTAAAATGTGATATGTTTACTAAAAAATTGCCAGAGAAGGATGATAATCACTTGCCTTCAACTGGAGGTAATGATTTCCTAAACCACTGACTTACAAGGGAAGACGCTTTAAAATACAGTCCTAGCAGAGAAGTATACTGTGTTTCATCAAGGAGAAAATGCATACTCAGTTATACATTAAATCCAAAAAGTGGATTTGTAAGGGAAATAGTTTTACTTTTTAAAGCCTTAGGCGCTCCATCAAAGGTTACATTTGTTGTGCAAAGGAACAAACTGCACATCCAGAAAAAAGAAAAAATTGTCATGTGTCTTTTGCATGTTGCAAGTGTGATGACAATGAAGACTGTCCTGGTAGTCAACGTGTTTTATTTCTCTTTTGCTTTACAATATATAAAATACTTGCAATAAAAAGCTTAATTATTGAACAATAGGAAATTCCTGCACTAGCCTTGGCAAGGAATTTTAAACATACTTATATTACAACACTGTTGTGAGGAGGCAAAGTTTTATCAGCCAGGTTTTGTCTCTGAGTTTCTGTGAAAGGCTGCTATCAGAAGCTGTTAAGGTGGAAGTCTTTGACTTCAACAAACTTGATTCAAATATTAACTTAATCCATTGTACATCACTTGCACCTATATTCTTCATTTTCCTCGGGTACTGTGTTTCTTCTACTCTGCTTTTTCTGAATGAATCCTTCAAAGGATTTCCACTAGACATCAGTATTTCCCTGCAGCTATTAAGTAATGTAATCTAGAAATAATTTTATTCTTATAATGCTTTCCACACCATCTCTTCAATCACCAAGCATCTTTTGAAGTCTAATACTGAGGTATGTCATAACGTATAAGTAAAAGGCTATGCTGTGTTTTGTGTAGGTATAACATAGGTAAAGCAAAGCATTAAGCCTGTGGATTTTTTATTTTTTTTTTTAACAAAATGAGAATGAGTAGTAGTATATGTTGACACTATTAAAAAATTATCCTATACCTCAAAATATCCCATGATATATAACAAACAATATATGACTGATCCTACTTTCTGATGCAATCAAATTAGCAAAACAAAATGCAAATCTCAAATGGCTACACAATTACTATTGTACAGATAACTACAAATTATAAATTAATGGAATGGTTGTTAATCATAGCTATGTTGTCAATTAATCTTATAGCTATTTTGTATGGTGAATTGATTCTTAAGCAGCAGAATCTCAGCAATTCATGCATTCTCTGATTTGCCTTGAAGTGTATCACTCATGACTGCTGAGTAAAGTCCTAATAGGGGAATATTACAGTAAGAACAGTGTTAATATAGCTGCTTTCTAACCTCCATTAGAGAGTATTTATATGTAGGCTACAAAAAAAGTAAGCATAAATAATTCGAACTAAAAACTTGTCAAAATAAATGAAGAAAACACATCTTGCTTTTATTATGCCCCATCCCTGGAGGCATTAAACACAAGGCTGGATGTGGCTCTGGGCAGCCTGGTCTAGTGGTTGGCAACCCCACACATAGCAGGGGGATGAAACTAGATGGTCATTGTGGTTCATTGTGGTCCTTTTCAACCCAGGCCATTCTGTGATTCTGCATGATTCTGTGATGAATTGCTTATTCTCCATCTCATTAACAAAATTTTTAACTGATCAAGAAGTCAACAATCTATGAAAGATTCTATGATACACGTGGGTATTTAATGTCCACCTCAGTTAGGCCCTCTGCATCCACAGCTGTTTTAATTAAGTAGATACTCAAATAAAGATATATATATCCTCAGAAATGCATTCAAATCTATGTATGTATTTGTTTAATGCATACTTCAAAGTCATATAGAGTTTAGCAGTGTAAAAGCATCAGAACCAACTGCTCTACTTTCCTAATGTCTCCTGAACACATGTGAGAGATACTGAATGAGTTGTGCAGGTAAAGGAAGAAGGATTTCTTAAAACCTTTTCTGCTTTTTATTTTACATGTCAAAGACCTATTCTATGAATCTCAGACAATAGGTCTCAAAGGAAAAAATTTTGGAGGAGATCATCTAGCCCAGCCCAAAATGTTTTCTGATTTTTATAAAGGAAATAGTTTGCAATAATAAGTTATTGCTGCACCCTCACCCCCTGCAATCCTTGTCTGAGTGTTTCATGATATATCTGACACCTACCTTCTAATTCAAGGGCTAACATGGGAGTACAGTCTATCTAATAAAGAAGGCTTTCCTTCAAAAATAAGTAAGCAGTTTATGACAGATGTATCTAGTCCAAAAAGAGACTCCAAATGAGCTGGTCCACTGGGCAGTTTTGGGCTACCTTTGTATTTAGGATATAGTAAGAATAGTAAGAAGAAATGCACCAATTCCCAGTTCCTTTATTAGTGCTGATTAAGTGCATTAATCCCTGTGGCTGTTCACTGCTCCCCCATCTCTGTAATTTGCCTTAGATCCATCCTTTACTTCATTGCTTTATGGGACTGCTGGGACCAGTTCTTCACCTTTTATCCTTGTCAGAAGGGATCATCATATATCCTTCCCTCTGCAATTCTGAACAGCATGAACACAATGCAGTTCAGTACCCAATTGTCTTCAATTAGACATCTTTAGACATTATTCCAAAAAAGGAGCTTATTTGGAGCTTTAAATTTTCAGATTTGGACTCTTCTTTCTTTACTATTCATATTATTATTCATTCATAAATAATGTGTCATGTTGTCTCAACACAGGTAAGTAGACAGGCTCTCCCAGTAACAAGGGAGAGAGAGTAGCATGGCTTCTAGGTCAAAAGGAAAGAGACTTCATCTTTCTTAAGCTGCAGTTCTGCCACTCCTAGTATGAGGGGGCAGGCTTTCCACTTACTCCCAACCCATTACTTGTTTACAGGACTTCAGAGATAGTCCTGGATGATCTATGTGATACACAAGGAATGTCAGGAATGAGTCTGCTACTTGAGAGGATGCTCTATACTTGCTTTGCTGACATAAATGCTAGATCCAATACTCTGCAGTTTCAGTTATTCCCCTTACCCTTGTAACAGCCTCACCTGTCTAGTCTGTGTATATATTTCAGCCAGTGCTTGGGTTTGGCCAACATGGAAGCTGCTGTTGGTACAGCCTTTTAAGACAGTAAAAGAAGAGGGGAAAGGTGTTTGTTTTTACTGTTTTACTGTTTGTTTTTACTTGCGTGGCATTAGGCTGACCGATGATCAGTTGCCTAAAATTAAAACAGTAGCACTAAGCTGAGGGTAAGAATCCACATTAATTTGGGGTGTTACTGCTAGACAATATTGTAAGGATAAACAACTCCTAGCATGTCTAGAATAAAACCTAGCATGTCTCAGCACAGGAGTTCCAACCTAAACAGAACGCAGCAACATTTTTAGAGTTACAGAAGTACAACATTGAAGCTCTGGTCATATTTGAAGTAGACAGGGGTAGTATCATGGCTTATTCCTCAAATGAGGACATACAAGATTCCCTTAGATATGTCTTTTGTTGTTTTCTGTCACCTCAATTCACTTCAACATAAAATCAACTTAAGACAACTCCAGTGATTAAAGCTCTGTGAACAAAGCAGGAACTCTGGTTCTGCATCGGTGCAGGTCCAGTGAAAGATGACTTAAATCTTTGCTTCAGGATTAAGAAAATGATTAGTCACACTCTGTACCCTCACTGAAAACAAACTGAATAGGGATATTATCGCTGTTGGGCTTATAGCCTTATTACTGCAACAATTTGATGCAGAAGACAGTGTCTCATTTCCTGTCACTCACAGACTCAAACTGCACTGGAATATGGCTTCTAAGCTGTGTGGAGATTTTCTAACATAAATATAACTCCACATTGTTTGATTTATATAAATTCTGCAGTGTCCGGTTCTCAGTAGTGTCTTTTCCTACATTTCTCTGCCTTTGGTGCAGGATTGGTTTCTCTCACTTGTACTTTGGCATGTGAATGTTGGGAATCATTACAGAGGCATCCCTGGAATGCTTCAAAGTTGTGATGAAAACCTGTCAATTTACCTGCAGGTCTTTCCACAAATTCTACATTTTATCTAGTCATTCCCTCCTTTGTTTCCCCAGAAGGTAGGGTATTGGGTTTTATTTGTTTTCTAAATTCTTACTTTTACTATTAAAGGACTTGACAGCCACAGACACAGTGACAGGTTTTTTTCCTCTAAAATTACTGAATAATGTTTAAATTTTGTCCAGTTACTTCTAGACTCGCATTAAAAACACACTCCAGACACACAGCACCTCTCTGACAAAATATGGGATTTTATTCTCTATTATAGCACCAATTATCAAAAAATGAGCGTATATTTCCTTTGTCTACTTGTGAAATATTACATAATGGACATTTATTCTTTTTTGCTCACAATAGAAATTATTTTAAGATTAGCATTTATTTTTACACATTAACATTAGGCCCTTCTTATATTATCCCTGAATATTACTGGCTTTTGTCTTAACAGGAATTTCAACTACAAGTATTCAGAAAAACTAATGTAAGATCTCAAATTACATTAACCACTAATAAGCAGTTTCTCTGTTAGATAAGGAGCAAAAAATCAAACACAATGGTAATGCTTTTATGCTTAATCAAATTTCTTCAAAGAGTTCAAGCTGCAGCTGAAACTTCACTGGTGTCTATCAACTGTACTGTGAGGTTTCTCATTTTTTTTTTTTTTATAACAAGTGAAAATTGTCAGTAACTTTATCTATAGAGAGACAAGAAGCTGTAATACACTCAACAGCTCATTTCCCATTTCATCTCTAAACTTCTGCTCAAGTTAACCTGCACTGCAAGCGTAGTACTAAAATTGTCTGTAATCGCTGACTTTGCCACTTAACAAGTGACATTCTGTAACAACACTGAAATTGAGCCAGACTGCAGACCCCTGAAATTACAGCACTGGCTGGTAGAGGGGACCATCTCACTTTATCTGTCTCGTTGCATCTAATAAATTCTTCCTGTTTACAATTTCAGCATTATCACATTTGTTCTCTATTTCTCTGCACAAAAATAAGCCTGCAAAAATTTGACAATTCAATTTATGTTCCATATTCTATTTTGCAATAGAATAGAAACTTCAGAAATCAGCTTCTATAGTCTTACAAAGAAAGAAATCCAAATTTCATTTATTTTGTTCCACCTAACTAATAAGACCTCTTGTTCACCTCTTGAGGTACTGTGCTCCTTTATTCTTTATAGATACGCTAGCATGTAATTGATCATTACCCTTAAGTTATCATTTTTAAGAAAATGGAATTTTTTGCAAGCTTTTTAATGAAGCATTCATTGTGAATAGCATGGCAGGCTAATACTTATTTCCAACCGTAGCAACTGAAATATTCCACTGCGTTCCTGGCTTTCTGGTTTCTATGCTTGCATAATTACATGGTTCGGATAATTTATTACTATTGTAAAATCAGATTTAGGGCATTTTGTTCTTTAGGTCACTCACTTAATTCTCTTGCTGCCAATAATTAACAGTTTCTTAGCAGTCAAAAAACACTGTACAATCATCACTGAATAGTGAATATTTAAAATGCTAGACATGGCAGAATGATGATTTGAATAGAAGAAAGTGAACCACAAACTCGTATCTCTTTCCCAGTTACTGAGCCCCAAGCTAGCGGTACTTAGGAACATTACAGATTAGGTATGATTTTTTTTTTTTTTTAATTGAATCTTCATTGTTTGAGCATCCCATTGCATATGAGAGCACCTTGAGAACTTACAAACTCCCCAGATTACATCTGCACAATGGTGCACTTAGTGGGGAAAAAAAGATTTAGTCTTAAGAGATAATTATACCTCAATAAGAGCAATGAATTTCCTGGAACATATTTGGACAGTTACAGCCTCACCGCTACCAACATCATTTACTGTAAAGAAAGGCCTTAGTGCAGTTAGACTAAGTAAATAAATATCAAAACAGGCATAAGATAATAGGTTCAATAAACAAAGACAGCAGCTAAAGCTCAGTATGATTTCTCTTAGCTACAGAGACTGTAACGTAGAAAAAATACAGGCAAGTTTATGATATAAAGCAAGCCCAGATACAAAGAAAATGTTCATGCTGGGGAAGAAAGAAGAAAAAAGATTTGATTTCTCATTTTCTTCCCTGGTGCTAAGTACATATTACTATTTTGTTCCTCCACACTTTTTCTTTCATCAAGTGTATTTTAATGTCTGGCCTCTCTTCTTCCCTGCAACTGGAAAGGCTTGCAACTAAAACACAGTTGGGTTTTGTTGGACAATACTTCCACAGTTAGCAATCCAAAGAGTCAGGAACTTGAGAAAAATATGATAAAATAATGATGACTAACTGGTATGTGTTGATGTCCTCTTACCCCACACGTGTACTCCCCCAAGTGAAATAGACATCCTTTTTCTTGTTTTCTTATCACTACCCTGATTTAGAGAAAGAGGATATTTCACCTACCACAGAGTCCCTAAAACTAGAAGGCTAGGTTCAAACTTAGAGGTTTGAATAAACCCTTTAAGAAACTGTTGGATGACTATGTTAAGCTTTGTATACTTCTATTAATCCTTTTGAAATAACAGATTGTTCTACATCTGTTTTGCTGTACTAAAGTCCACAGCACTGTAGATTCTGTCCTCTAAGTCCCTTCTTGCCAGCCTTTGTAATTTCAGGAGCCACAATGCTGAAGTAGATGAAGGAAGTCTTACCAGACTCAAGACCAAGATTGATGGCACAGAACTGGATTATTTTCACAATTTTAGCTCATATTGTTTGTTTCCAGTAGAACTTGTTAATATGATTCAGTTCATGCTAATTTAACACTGTGAAATTCTAGAAAGTCACTGTGTAGTCATATTATATGACCCTGGGCTGGTATATTTTTGTTTTCTTTGTTGCTTTAGTGGGTTTTCCAGAATTCACCAGTGCTATTTCAGTACACCAGCATCTGTGAGCTAAAAATTACCTAACAATTCACAGAATGGTCCACAAGGAAGAATTTTAATGCCAATTCAGACATGCTGTAGATCTTAGATGGGTGGCAACAAGTAGAAGGGCTGAAACGCAAAAGATCTAAAACACTGTGGATGGATGGCAGAAAACTGCCTGTATCAGAGTCCTGAAGGCCTCCTATGATCATCCTGCAAGCCAGCCCTGTACAGAACCAGTGGATGATGTGGAGGTGTGTGTCAAGAAACCACATAGCACTTGCATGCTCTATGTGCTTCAAGAAATGTGGGTGGAGATTTTCATGGAAAGGATGACTGGAATGAATGTGAACAGGCTGTGATGCATGTAATTACCAAGTAGACATGCCCCAGGTTTAAGAAAGATACATAGTTTTTTTTCTTCTCTGGATATTTACGTATGGTCAATGATAGACATTAATTTCTGAATTTCTATTTTCTGTGTGGGTTCTTTCTGCTTTTTCTGTTTCCAGAGCTGGAAAAAATTGAGGTTACAGTCATATCATCCAATCTAATTAAAATACTGCATTGCAGTGATGCAACTCAGTGGTTCTAGTGAGTCAGGAGCAGGCTCAGCACTGGGTAGAAAGTATTCAAAAATCTTAGTCTTTTCAGTTCCATCCCTGCCAAAATTTTCATCGAGTCTGAAATCCTTCATATTGTAATTATGTTAATCTTGCCTAATGGTGAGATTATGATTAGATACCATCCAAGCAGGTTATCAGGTTTGCTGGGCAAATTCACAGCAGCGGCAATGCTATAAGTGTGTGATAGCCATGTTGAAGATTCAAGATTTCTATGATTTTTAGCAAAGAAAGAATATCTACTTTGAAATATATTCTTATAAAGCATATCTTATAGTTCTGTTCTTACAAAAATCTTTTCAGCAATCTAGTAACCTTTTTTATACAGCCTTTTGAAAAATCTTAGAAAGGAAATAGAAGCTGCTAACCATCTTTTCTTTGTATTTCAGGTATTGTTGCAGTTCTTTTCTGTGGAGTCACACAAGCCCATTATACCTACAACAATCTCTCATCAGATTCCAAAATGAGAACTAAACAGGTAGGATATGGAAATAACACTGTCTTCAACATGTACAAGGAATAGACAATCTGAAATATAGCTGGATGGAATTCTGTTAGTGCAACTGAAAAGGTCTATGTCTTCAATAGGGGAAAGATGAGATTTTTCTGGGGAAAAAAGTAACAGTGCTCTGGCCAGACAAAAATGTAACAAACTGTTCTTCCCAATGTCACTCAAGGAGATAATAGTTCAGATCAATTTCCATAGAAAAAGGCTGCAAGGTTAAGAAAATCCAAGAGCACCACTAAATAAGAGAAAAGCATTCTGGAAGGTTAGATCCATGTGGATTTTTGTAAGAGGACTGAAAACTGCAGTCCAGCCCACTGTCTTTAGTGATGACATCACTTAATTTCTACTTTGTTAAAAATCTTCTGTAATTAGAAAATAGAAAAATAATTACCATTTTATTATTTAAAGTTCAAAGATGAGAACCTACATGACCTGTTTTAGTTTGAACAAGTAGTACAATTGCTGAAAAGCATGGGGCTGTCCTCAGTACCAGAGAGATGGCATTGCAATGTTGCAAATACTCTCCAGCAGAAGGATTAGTGTCAGACTACATTGTTGCTCCCTAGTCCCTGTGACAAGTCATTTGAATGTTGTTTGCTTCACTTTCAATGTTGATTTGTATGTCCCAAGTACCTCAGGCTATAGAAAATCCATCTCCTGGAACAAAATGAGAATTTATGGTCCAGTGCTACAATTTCCATTAAGCAATCCAGTAACTTTTTCAGCAATTCCTCTGTTTTAAGCATTAGAAATAGAATACAGAAACTTTTACCTCTTCTTGCACATCTCAAAATCAATTTAATCAAAAATCCAATTTTCTATCAATAACAGTTTGATAGAAAAAAAATACTGGCCACAGTATTACTTCAACTTCAGACTCTTACAGATTTTAAATCAGAAAAAGTTTCTGGTCAGTACTTCCAGAATGAAATGTTAGCTAGTGAACAGGATAGGTCTTATCAATTGCATTTCTTCATACCAGGGGAAGCTGAGAGGCTGATGCTTTGAGAAAATACTCTAGCAGAGAAGGGGACTTTTCTCTGGTGAATGTGTTATAAGAATAGCATTTATATCTACTATAGAATTGCTTTTATATTGCAGAAATACTGAATTCCATATACTATTATTACCCTTGCATATAATTGTTAAAGTTTGAATACAAGGCTGTTCCAGGGATTCATCTGCATGATTTAGTGATACATAGCTAGAGAGAGATTGGCCATTGAAATTTTAATTACATATGAATTTTTTCAACTACAGAAATAACATTTAGTTTAAATGCATACTGGCTTTGTTTTCATGCTTTTATTTCCAGTCATTCAGCAGATCCAAACAGAATAGTGAAAACAGGCTGAATCTACGCTTGAACACACAGAAAAAGAGCTCCATATTTCATTTTGAAACTCTAAGTTTTATGCACTCCTATTTTGCTTTTTCTCTTCCAGCATAAGCTCCAAATCCTCAGCCTCTCTGAGGATAGTTCAAAAACTCCTCCGAATTCTTCTAATTTATTTTCTAATCCATAGATTACCCTTCCACACATAGCTGTTTCAGTGAGATCTGCACTCCTCTTATCTTTCCTTCCCCTCAAGTATTATCTTGAAGAAAATTTACTAAACCACACACTTTATCATCATCATAATTACATACAACTTTATTGCATTATAAATGGATATTGTTGCTAAGACCGATGGCCTTGCTCCCAAATTAAATCATTTTTATTGCTATTTACGGGCCAAAAAAGATGACTTTTTAGTTCATTTATATAATTATTCCAGGGCACTCTATCATTTTTTACAATATGACAGGTCCTTCAGTATGAACTGGTGAGCTGTAGTGCACACTGAAGAGACAGTGAGTTGAGACTGAAGTTAAACTAATAAAAAAATCAGAAATGGGATTTAAAACTGTAAATCAGACTGCGAAGTTATGTTATTTGTCTAAAGACTAACGCTTCATTCCTACTGTCTTGCATAATTTTATTTACAATTTCTATTGCCTGTTAAAATTCCATAGCTCAGTGATAAAATTCAGTATACAGTGACAATGGCAGTGTTTGAGGCCGTGCTGCTGAGTTCTGCATTTCTCATAATATCTCACCGTTTGCTCTAAAGAGCACATGAGAAAAGACACAGGTATGATTTTCTTCATATACTAATATCAAATTAAAGCCTACTTTTTGTTCTTAAACAAGAATTTACAGCTCTAAAGAACACCTGTTAAAGGATGCCATATAATTATTAGTCCCCATGTATTCTTTATTATCCAGTCAATCACTGCCTAACATCTGATAAAAGAAATATTACATTTTAAGGGTCTGAAACATACAGAAGCTGAAAGTAGAAGGTAATGTAGATCTTGTCATAGATAATAGATTATTTTAACACTGCCATAAGATGAAAGATTTAGTGAAAACACAGATTTTAGAGTTTTCATTCAATCCAAATGTCCGAAGTCTCACTAAATATTGATACAAAATCTGTGTTCTTACTGCTTGCTTATTATTGTGAATAATGTTTAATGGTAGTATTTTTAAGTCATCATCATCGACCTGATTAAAGTCATAGTGACTGTAGCATTAAAATTGACACCCCATCCATGCCAACAAGATTTGGTCAGAGTGCTCTTGAGTTCAATACATATAAAGTTTAATTTATCCAGTATATCTTCAGTGAAGGAGAAAATGGAACTGCTAGCACCTTATTGAAAGTTATTTGATTTTGTGCAGTTTTTGCCAGAATTATTTACAGCTGCTAGTATAACCTCACAAAAAGTTGCAGGCAAATATCTGCTTCTAAATCTTAGGACACTATAGTCCAGATTTCACAATGGGTTCCTCAGAGGTACAGTTGTATTGGTCTGATTTGCTCAGGTACAAGTAAATCAGTGACTAGACAGGACGTTGCTAGATAAAGAGAAATTACTGGTTTGCTGAAAGTGGGCAGACCATAAGTATCTACAGGTCAGCTCTAGAATGGGATTCATGGATAATACCTGTATTTCCCACAGGAAGATAAGATATTCTTCACTTTTTTTTTTTTTTGTCTCCACACTCCAGCATTTTCACTTAAATGCCAATGGTAGATCAGCATATTTTCCTAATGACGAAGTATTAAGAGAAGCTTTTAACTTTTTCTAACAGTTATAAATATCCAACATACTTATGAGTTAGCTCATTTCCTAGTTGTTTTTTCTTCTCCTTTAATTCCATGGAATAGACACAAGGAAGAGAAGAAGAACAGAACAATCGATAAGTGTGCAAGGGTCTTTGCTTTCAGACAAAATACTGTGCCAGAAAGTTATAAATTCTGGAAAGGAAATTAAGAAACCCATCTCCTGTGGAAGCAGAGAAGGGGGAACAGTGGAAGGTACAGCAAGTTACGTCCAGCCAACAAGGGATTATGTTGCAAACTACTCTACCTGTCTCCATTTATTCCACCAGTCTAATCCTTGTTTATGTCGTGACCTCTGAAATACTTGTGTCTATCAAGTTCATGAGAGCTGCTTTCTGAAATTAAGTGCAAGAGCCTTTCTTACTGCATTGTTTGTTAAACAGTTACTGTTCCTGATAGCAAACCATTTGGGGAACACCTGCCCTTATAGAGAAAAACCTTCTGGCCTGATTGTTCAGCTGCTCTGGGAGTGCAGTATGTACAAGATGTCGTGTTAAGATTTCAGTGGCCCTTCACCTTCAAAGTCTTTACACAAGCTTGAGAATAGGGCAAAGGTAAAAATGAACTGCATAACTTCTGAGAAACTTTAAAGGAACACTTCACATCAGTAGGACTACTTCAGCAAATTAACTGATGCTGAAGGATTGAAAATTCATACTGCAATCTTAGTTCTTCGCCCACTGATGGACATAACATAACACTGATTTATTCAAATGTTCATCTCCACACTATAATGCAGACATGATTATCTCTGATTGTGGAAAGTCATCACCTTGTAGAGAAGTAGCTAAATCATCTGAAAAACTCTTGAAAAATGCATTTAGTTTTCAAAATTTGTCAAGCTCATTTATGACATAGCATATCACATTAAGGATTAACCATCTATTTTCCACATCATAAATTGAGCTGTATTCCAGGCAGTTGGGTGTAGCAAGATATTTTTTTTTTTTAACTCATCAAAAACAAATTCAAATCAGTATCGTCTCTTAACCCTGATCTGCTACTAAGTAACCTTGATACAGAGTTTAGAGTTCGCTGCTCCACTTTTAATTATAGACTGAAGCAAACTGGAACATATCTGAACAGCAGAATGTCACTTAGAAAGTCAAATATCACAATGAATAAGTCCAGATCTACTGGAAGAGGGGTGAAATCACTAAATTAAAGGAATGGCTCCTGAATAGCACCAGACTGCTTAATAAAATTAGTATTCTAAAGGAAAGGAGGTAGCTAGTCAGCTTTTAGCTGACTGTGTCCAGGTGAAACACCATCTCTGTGTCATTCTACTGCAATTCCATTGGCCTAACTATCACTATAAACAAGTTACACAAAAGCAGAATTACACTCACAATTTGAACAACAGATCTCCTCTCTCTGGATACACAACGTAGTGACTATTTTTCAAGATTCTTATCAGCTGTCTTTTCCTAAGAGAAGAAATAACAGACTGCAAATTCTCCTCCGGTAGCAGAATGCTTTCACCTGAGTTTGTAGCTGTTGTTAGAAGCACACACCACGAATGCAGCTTGTTTGTCTTTCCCGTGAGAGAAGGGGAGTGCCAGTGGAGATGGCCTTGCCCTACTACTGCCACAAGTGCACCAATGTGCTGTTCTCAGGGGTCCCACTCTGGACATCCCGCACCTAACCTTCGTTAGGGAGAGGAAGTCCTCTCAAACCATAGGAAGCAATAATGCAGTGCCCCTTAGCTTAAAGCCTCCACAGTCACGTACGACACACATGCCCTGCGTGGATCTGCTATTTCTATGAGTCTTTAAGAAGTAAAACATTTACAACTAT